AACATTCACCTAACCTCCAGGTACCTCACCTAACTTCCTGTAGCGTCACCGAACCTCACGAAATGTAACCCAATGTAGTTTATAATCTATCCTAACATGACATAACATAACCACGCACTATATTACTTCGGTAAGAGTAATGAGTTTTAATACACAAAGTTGCAGTTATCATTCATTCATACATACATACATACATACATACATACATACATACATACATACATAACATGCTAGTGGCAGGGGGGGATTGAAGTGAATTTTAGGAGGATAGAATAGGTGCAGTGGCTAAACAGCGCTTGCGTGAGGGACTTTAAGCAGCAACTCGCCTGGATGCGGCAGGATAGAGTCCGGTCAAGCGTCCGGTGCATGTTGGGTTCCGCCATGGTTTCTCAGTGTTTGGTCAGCTTGATTGTGTGTTGTTTTTCTTGTTTTGGAGAAATGTCTTGGTATTCTTCTTGGCTTGAAGTTGATTTTTCTTCTAACTCTTCTCCTCTTGTTATTCGTCTTCCTCGTGTCTGCTAGTCTGTAAAGACTCTCTACCTTATGTAGAGTATGAGTGAGTAACAGTTGCCGGTTACAGTGATACGCCTATATTCCGCTGGTGTTGTACTGTATGGCTTCGGTGTTAGCAATATACAAACAGCACCGTTAGAGATTGAGGTATTTAAAACCAACCTGCATTATATATATAGGAAATAAATAATGTGGCTTGGACAATAATGTGACTACTCTCTCCTACCTTCCCCAAACAAAGGGCTTTTCAATATACAGTGGACACAAAATGACTTAGTACATACATTGGTGGTTTAACAAAAGCCATCATTAGAGAAAGGTGAAGGAGCACACAGTGAACATACAGATTAATGTTTGCACGCATAGATCATGTAAGGTGAGGTGTTGAACACCAGACACGTAGTGTAGTAACTCCCTCACAGATGGCGTTATGAGGGGCCTGAGGATGTAGCAGTTACCTCACAGATGGTGTTATGAGGAACTTCACATGATGATGCTGTAGCAAAACATTCACTACGTGGTGTCGTAGCATCTTGGGGACACCACGTGGTCGACATGACTCACTCATTCAAGTGGGTGAGGTGTGGTCCCAGGCCTCTCTATCGTGGAGTCTCAGGGGAAGTATAACTGGGTACCTGGGACCTCACTGTGTGAAGGTGGTTAGCTAGCTTGGGTAAGACTCAACTGCCGAGTTGTTTTTCACTGAGTTAAGCACTGTTCACCACTATTCATCACTGGTTCCATTCCTTTGCCAAATGAGATAGTACCTTATGGCAAGAACTTGTTGATAGTAGGCTGGGGAGGAGGGTTCAGGGGAGTGAGTTGGTATGGGCCAACATATAAATAATAATAATAATAATAATAATAATTAACGGTTTATTGAAAGAGCTTGGCAGCCAGAAGACTGAAAATATACAGTTACATATTTGGGGAATGGGTTACGAATTACAAATAATATACAAGTAACATGAGTGACACAAATAAGACATATAATAACTAGCTGGGGAAAAGCTCAAACTACAGTTCATTTCAACATAGTGACAGTGCAAGGAGTAGTGTTTACTGGGAGTGAATACACTGATTTATTACAAGTTATCGATAATTTTTACAATGGTTGGGACTGGGCTGTTCTTATAGAGATCAGTTCGTGCACGTATGGGCTGGATGCGGTTGTGGTGTCGAAGAGCAATTCTCGGACTAGGGATCTCAGGTGGTAGTAGGAGCCGGTGTCGGGGATGGTGTAGAAGCTTCTTACCAAATTTGCAGATGAGTTCGTGGTGATGGTCAGTGAGAGTCTAAAGGGTCGGTCAGTGTGTTGAGCGCTTCTTGATATGTGGAGTAGGAAGGGTAGAGAATAATCTTGCATGGCCTCTTTTGCACTTTTTCTAGGTGTTTACGTTGTGTGGCATTTAGGGAAGAAGACCAGGTGAGCTTGGGAAGTATGAATGTTGTGTAAACACTGAGGAGCTCGTGTGCAGGAACACCGAGGGACTTGAGTCGGCGTAGGAGGTGGAGACGGAAACTGGAGGATTTAATAACTTCACTGACGTGTGGTTTCTAATTTAGTTTGTTGTCTATGTTGACGCCGAGGAGCTTCGTGGAATCTAAAACCTGGAGTGTGTTCAGACCTAGAGTAATGGAAGGAGGTGGGACAATGTCGGAGGAGAGGTTGATGTGCATAACCATGGTTGTTGGTGGCCCAGTTTTGGAGACTGTTCAATAAATCCTGAAGGGCGGTACAGTTTGGAGCAGAAGTGTTGACGCTGATCCCAATGGTGGAGTCGTCGACATATTTCCAGCGAGCAGGGGTTTCTCTTAGGGCATCATTGATGAGCATAAGGAAGCAGAGTGGTCCCATCTTGGTGCCTTGGGGGACGCCACAGGTGAGTGACTGAAAGGTGGAGACAGCCAGCCCCTCGGAAGCGTACAGCTTGGCGTCGGTCACTGAGGAAGTCTGTAAGCCATGGTATAATAAGACTTCTCCGAAGCCCGAAGGTCAATAAACTGTTGATGATTATATTGTGGTCGACTGGGTCGAACGCTGATATGAAATCAATGAAGGCGACAGCTACAGACGTTTTCGTTTCTCCGAGATGGCGGTATGTAATCGAGAAAGCTGACAAGACAGTGAGTGGTGGAGGAAATTTTCATATTGCCAAATTGCTGAGGGTCTACGACTCCTGCAATATCAGCATAAGCCCAGTCGAACACAAAACTTTCACAGATTAGGCTGGGTATTGGGGTGATTGCAATAGGTCGTAGATGATTTAAGGATTGTGGGTTGGTTGACTTGGGCACTGGTGATACATAAGAGGTCTTCCAGTCAGCTGGGCATCTGTCTTGACTGAGAGAAGCATTGATGATGGAGCATAGGGGTTTAGCAAGCTCCGGGGAAAACTCCTTGAAGAGTTTCATTGGTAAGTCAATGGGGGTGGTAGAGCTTTTTAATTTTAGTTTGTCCAGGCGTTTTGCTACTTCAAATTCTTCTATTAAGTCAGTGGGAAAGGGGGCTGGTAGGTAAGCAGGGAGAGTGGTTGTGTCAAGCCGGGGGAGCGTCTGGCATATAGTAGCGAAATGGTTATTTGTTTGCTCAGCTGCGTCAACATTAGTGAGATGGCTAAGGAAGGGGAGGGGGTGTGTCTTATTGTTTAGTCCACAGAGTTCTTTAAGCTTACTATACCATTGACTGATGTTGGTCTGCTTCAGGTGTTGTAATTTGGTTGGGTAGTGGGACTTCTTTGCAGTGCGTATTTCGCGGATGACTCAGTTGCGAAGGGACCTGTAGCGGATGTGGTCATTGAGATGAAAGGCTCTGTCTCTCTGTTGCATAAGTCTTTTGATCCGAGGTGTGATCCAGGGCAAGTCAGCTGGGTGAGATCTGACGGACTTCTCGGGGAAGAAGTGGTGGTGAGCTTCCGTGGTGGTGTTGGTATAATTTATCCATTTGGTTTCCACGTCATCCACGCTAAGTACTTCAGTCCAGGGATGGTGAACTATCCACTGCCCGAAGAGGCGCACTGCAGAGTCAGTAATCGGCCTGTAGGTCTTGATGTAGGGTCTGTACTTGAGTGGGAGTGGCAGCTGGGGACCAGAGCACTGATAAGTGTGTGCTACACCCGATAGGAGGCATTGGTTGAGGTGGTTGGTACTGGTCCGCTAAGTCAGTTAAGATAAGGTCAAGGGTATTTTGACCGTGTGTGGGGAAGGTCACAACTTGTGATAGTGATAGCTGGTCCTGGATATCAGTGGTGTAAATTTCATTAAAATCCCCACATAATACTAACTTGGCACATGGGTACCTAACTCTGAGGTGGTCTGAGGTGGTGATGAGATGATTGATAAGAGTGTCTCTGGTGGGTGAGTGAGGCGGATGGTATGCCACACAGATTATGATGGAAGCAGTGTTGCGCGGGTGGGCCCGTGGCACAACACGTACCCATAATGCTTCCACATCTGCTGGGACTTGAACATCCAGGCGTGACGGGCGTAGGTCATCTTGACAGAAGAGGCCAACGCCCCCTCCGCATCTATGTGAACGAAGGTGATGAAAGAGTTGATATCCCTCAATATGACACGTTTCAGGCACAATTTGCCAAGCCTCACATATGGCAACAATGCTCGCGGCGGCTGACCTGACTGCAGTTGCCAGCTCGTCGAACTTGTTAGCTAGGGAAGTGACGTTGGATAGCAGTAAAGACGGGAGATCATACCATATCCGTGTAACTTCAGTGTGGTGGTATGGTCTGTCAGGGGTGGGTTTCTCCGGTTTCCTAGTGGAGGTTACGGTTCTAATGGGCTTATGTGTATGACGGCCTTGTCTACGGCTACGCGCGTGGAATATGTTCAGTGACTTGAGTCGCGCGATAACACTGCCATCAGGATAACCGTTCCCACGCTTTGGATGGTACAGAGTGCGTCGGGAGTAAGTGATTGGTGGCCATCTGTTGATATCTGTTGTGGGCGGACGGAAGTGTTTGTCACTGACGGCACTTTGAGGGCCACTGACACTGGTAGACATCTGTTAATATTTGTCAGTCGTAAAGACCGTGGGTCTTTGTCCCTGGTGCTTGGGGTTGCCGACACAGTATTCACGATATATGTAAACACCGCGGTGGTCCTTGTCACTGGCACTTTAAAGGTGACCGATAAAGTGCCCACTGTCTGACTTTTCCTTGGGGTGTGTGTGTGTGTGTGTGTGTGTGTGTGTGTGTGTGTGTTACAAAGTTAACAAATTGTCGTGAGAAACGTCCTCTCTGTTCTTAAACGACGTGATAACTTGTAACTTTACCGAAATGAAGTTTTTGTAAGTTGCATTTAGTTCATCAAAAATCATTGAACTTCCTGAATATCAAAGGTGCAGTGACGACAGCTTTTGGCTGTGTCAAACATTTTACAAAAATGTGGATTTTAGATTGTTTTTATGACACCATTAACAAGACCTGTACTATACTGCCAAGTTCTGAATTTTTCCTTGATTCCAGGTTGGAGTGTTGGAGGCGCGGTCACTATGAGACGGCGACGAGGGAGGCAGGAGGTGGTGGACGATGAGGAGGCCCTGCATATAAACCGGACCCATAAAAGAGATAAAGAGCAGCACTGGACAGTTTCACTCTAGCCTTCTGATATCTCACTAGCTGCTACCTCAGCCCTCCGCCCACGGTCATCCTCATCCGTGTAGAAAGTCCTCGTAGAACTGTTGCAAGTTATACAGTGATGACGGTATATCTGAAAACTGTGTGCCCATAATAGCATTGGATAGCTTATTTTGTAAACAGATCGCAGTGCCTTAGTAAAGAGTGTACAGTGTGAAGTTGTGGGTAGATAATTCAGAGCAACTTTGTGTTCAAGTAGTTCAATAGGCATACGCTAGATTTGTTACCTAAGGAGTGTGTAAGGGAAAAATATAGAATTTCGTTTCACCGTGACCATCTACCCCGGCCAACATGTGTGAGGGCTACCAGATTCGTTTCGACGTGGCCTTTAAGAAGGAGAACGACACTGTTATTACAATTCTGAAGCCTGTCATCACCAAGTGCCCTGAGGACCCGGGACCTATCATCGCCGGAGTCTTCCTCTCAATCATCTTCCTCGGAGCCTTCCTCCTCAACCTGATGGTGGTGGTGACGGTGGCCACCAGTTACACCCTCAAGAGGTTTCTCTACTGCCACCTCCTCATTAACCTCAGCCTCTCCTGCATGATAGACTGTTTCCTCAACCTGAGTATTGCCATCGGCTACGTCACCACCGCGCCTTGGAGGTTTGGCTACGGTGTGAGTTACTTTAATGGCTTTACGATAAACATGATGAATAGTGAGATGGCCTTCGCTGTATTACTGTTGGCTGTTGATAGATTAGCTGCAGCCAAGAAGTATACCTCATACCTCAACAGTGAGAAGTACAAATTGGGTGTAGTGATAGGTGTAACGTGGGTGGTGGCGTTTATTCTGGCCTCACCCCTGGTGTGTGGTTTCGTACTCAGTATGCCTTATAAAAACAGATACTCGTGTTCTGTCGCTGATCCAAGAGACGATTATTACCTCATTACGCACCTGTTACTGATCGTGTGTTTGCCAACGCTTGTGATGGTGGTGTTAGTGTGTGTGATCTCAGTGACATTCCACCGTGAGCGTAAAAAACAAAAGAGAATCAAAGGTAACCAAACGATGAGTTATTTCGACCAAATTTTGATGACTCCATACTTTAGAAACGAGTTCTATCCGTCAGTGTTTGTGATTTGTGCAGTGATAGCGTACGTTATGCTTTGGCTTCCCTTCACCGGTCTCACCACCATTAGCCCCATGATGACCAAACACTGGGCCAATGAGACGACCGAAGATTCTCCCGACGATGACTTCAGTCGCTTCTTGCCAACAACGAGGAGCAACTTCAGGGTGAGTCGGGCTATGGTGGACGCGACTCAACTGGAAGCTCTGAATAGCACCAACGCTACCTTGCCCTCCGACATGACGCCAGATATGACCAACATAACCATGGACGAAGGTTTTATCCCGGAGATAGTGGACACCCCAGCCTTCGATACCGTGGCCGTCTGGTTCCGCTTCATTTTCAACATTGTTGTGCCAATTTTAGTGTTTATCACTCTGAGGGAGGTGAGGACCAAGTGTGAGGCACTCATCATGTGCTGCAGACCTAACTCTGTGGACGTGGCCTCGCCCAAACCCTCACGTCCACCCTACATCAGCAGCCTACCCGGCACTGGGACTGCAGAGAAGAAGGCCGGGGACACCAAGTCACAGAAGAAACAAAAAAAAGACAACAAAAACACCATCAACTGCAAAACACCGATCCTCTTCTCGACCTCCGAGGGCCTTCACATCCGAACAATTGGGGATACTTACTTGGACATGAAGGAAAATAGATCATTGTTACCATTCAACCGACAAAACAATGATCAACCAAAGTTTGTGTACAACCTGTGTGATGTCATGCTCGGGTATGAAGATCTCACAGACTTCGACGGGCAGTTCCATATAGATGACAGCTACGACTTTGAGGGAGACCCAGAGGCTGAGAACCTGGGTAAAGGTAACGCCGTAGTCATCGGGGCACAGCGGGCCGCCTTGGGGCAGAAGGGACAAGGCCCTGCTGAGAGCAATGACGAGGAGGAAGGCACCAACTTCAATATTGACTACCGACCACCAACTCCACCCAAAGTTCAGGTCGTGGGCAACGACTCCGCTGTAAACTTCGGCAATGCCCTAGAGGCGGAGGATGTCAACAAGCATAAGAAAGGAAAGAAAGTTAGATTTGCAACTTTGCTGAATGAGGAGATTCCACGCCCACGCTCCGCTGAAAGTTCCATCCTCAACTCGTCCGCCAACAGCTCTCGTTCCACTGACTCTGGGATTATGGCTGATAACGAACGTAACTCTGCTCAACAAGACAATGAGAATCGGAAACCAAGATTGAATGTTAACAATCGACAACAAGCTGCCAAAAAACAGACCAACAAACCTGGAGTAAAGGCCCGCGCTACTCGGAAACCCCCGCCCCCCAAGAAGGTGGGGGCACCTTCCTCCAAAATTCCTTCCGGGCCCAAGACACCAAAGAAGGTTGTGTCCTCCAAAATTCGGAATATCAAGAGTCGTCACATGAATAATCTCAACTCCTCCCTCACGTCTCTGGAGAATAAATCACCGACGAGAGCCAGGAGGTTCTCCAAAGCCAGCACATAACTCTCCATGGCGAGTCCTCCACCCATGGTAGGTGACGTGTGGCCACTTGCTGATACAGATTTAGACCAAATAAAGGAACCATAATATATAATAACACATATCTACTAAAGACTAGTCACTCTAGGTCTAGTTTTCACATTCGCTTAGTAAACGAAATAAATAGCCATAATACATTATAAGATTTAAACACCGTCCTTAAATAAGGCGGTACATTTTGTTTATAACATTTAAAGTAAATGCACAAAGCGTTCTTTCTTTTAACGAGACTTTATCAAGATTTTGGCAATATTGGATACTGAACCAGCAAAAACATTTTAAGTCATTATGTTCCAGTGGTTATGATTTACTACAAAGAAAGTAATGTTAATGCAATGTTCGAATTTCTAGTTTTTCGAGTTAGATAAGTACAGTATAGATTAGTAATGTAACAACACAGGAACACACCAGTGGTGAATTAGGTATTCCTAACACAGCCCTAATACTTCTCTTTTGGAGATGTAATGAAGCAAGCATTATGATTGATTTCATTATTGAACCTCATAATAAAGAATCTTACGCTTATCAGAAGTGTTACCACAGTGCACTTATCATTAGCCAACTTGTTGTTATTAAAGTTTTAATCCAAATTATGAAATATGTATACGAGTTGTATATAAATCATACTAGACCTCCCCGAGCAGTACTGAACTTGGTCCCACGCCATGATTGATTCGAATTTTCCAGAAATCGGTATCATATTTAAAATCAATTGATCCCATTAGGCATCATGGGCCAGATAGCCCTCTAGTTACTTGTTACTGGGCCAGATAGCCCTCTAGTTACTTGTTACTGGGCCAGATAGCCCTCTAGTTACTTGTTACTGGGCCAGATAGCCCTCTAGTTACTTGTTACTGGGCCAGATAGCCCTCTAGTTACTTGTTACTGGGCCAGATAGCCCTCTAGTTACTTGTTACTGGGCCAGATAGCCCTCTAGTTGTTACTCGCCCCGCTGTATATAAAATCGATAGAGTATACTTAAACATCTCTCCCATCATGGATAAACTCCTTATCATCTATTCGCTAAACTAGCCATTCAGAACGTCAGGGTACTCTTCTGTAGATGATTGTCAAATACTCGGCGTCAGGTCAGAGGTCAGTAAGGTACTGTACCCTCACATTGAGAGACTGGCCACGGCCTCACCCTTATCCTCGATGCTGAGAAACTATGTAATTGTTAATTTTTTCATGTAGATATTGATATTACTCCAGGTGCTCTCTTCTTTCTTCTCATGTCTCGAGTCTGGTTTACAAACGAAGATCCCTCATTAAGAGATTATACGTGATAGATCTCCTAAATAAAGTAAAAGATGCTCAAAGCACAATGTTAGTTGCAGTGGCACAATAAAGAACATTTTGGTCTTTAATATATCTGTCTCCAAGTTACACCTATCAAGATGACTGTCCAGACTACTCAAACTAATTTCAATGTGTGTAATCTTGACATCCTATCGTTTTTCCGTGCAACTGTTCATTTCTGAGGCTGGCTTTTATATTAAAGTTTTTATGTTTTATCTTGAAGAGTTCACCAGTTACCTTGCGATTTAACAAACGAATCTTCAGTAATCGAAACACATTGCAACGAAGAAATCGCCTTGACAAAATGTTTTAAATTTATTTTGTTCCTACCTGAAGTACAGGATAAATACAGTAGTACTTGTAACGGATCCACAGCAGAACTAACACTCTGTTGGCTGGTTGTCGCAGGTGCATGTAAATGAGGGAAATTGTGCACAACTTAAGCAATATGAATACTGTATGCATTTATTTACTGCCTGAAGCTAGATATAGGTTAATTTACAACCATCATGTTTCAGTTCCTTTTTTGCAGCAGTCTTTTTAAAATGATTGTGTTCACTAGTTAGATGGAGGATGTGACTATATAATTAAGACAGTTGGTAGCTATTGTTGAGATGCGACGCTAACCGGACAAACGTCTGTCTGATTTACCTTAACAATACAGGTATTACTTGTGTTAGGTTTGGCGTAGAAGAATTTTAATTCTTTACCTTCACGTTTTTACTGCAGCAATTAAGTTAACGTCGTACCATTCAGACACATTAACACAAAAAGTATTAAAACAATTTCTTGAGAAGTACATTGTTTTAACATGATTAAAAATATTTTTGGCTGCTTCTTCAAATAGATCTAATATTATGTATGTGTGCTTCATATGGTACAGACCCAGAATAGAATGAAATTTGTCACTATTCGGCATAACACAAGAGGGCTCTTTAAGAACTCGGGTACACCTCTTTATTTCAGTAGTTGTCACATAGATTCCGTAAGTACACAATAAATAAATCAACAAAATATTGATTAATCAGCGTTTTTTGTGGAGTAATACCTGTACTTTTATCAGAGAAAATGGGTAAAATATGAGTTATAGAAAATGGGTAAGATTGCCATAAACGTTTGTATCAAGCATTGTGTTCTCGAAATGCAACGACGTGATAAATGATTTCAAAACAACATAAATTATATACTGCTGAAATCAGTATTCAAGGCATTTGATAACTCCACTGAAATGAGACTGATTCTGCTGATATTATGTATGACATTACAGTAATGTTGGTATAGGTATTTGTAAATTGTGATATTGACGAACAGAAAACGAAAATATTGATATAGGTGTTGAGTAAACCATTGATTCTCAGAAAAAGGAAGGCATCATTAAATTTAGCCTCCTCTTGTTTATAACCTGATATGAACCACTAGTGCTATCGGGCTGTGGGCCTACGGTGGCTAGCGGTTTCTATGTTAGTAGTAAATTTTAAACATTTAATCTGTGAAGTCAAGTGTTTTATTAACACAGCCGACCGTGGACATTGTTTCATTGTCAGTTATACTTATCTTTTTTTTTATATACAGTATATATAATTGTATCAGAAAGCATCCAGAGTCAATATGTGTTGAGTAATTAACCCTTCTTAGGCCACCTCAGTAAACTGTAACTTGTAAATGCTTCTCTGAGTTTTCTATAATATAATGAAATACGAACATTAACATAAGTATTACCTGGGACAGACGGTTTAATTAAGGAATTCTTTTAAGTGTGGCCGTAATGACCCAGGTGTTCACGGCCGGTAAATCAATTAAACAACATAGTAAGCAAGAAAGTAAACCAAATCGTTACCGGTATACTTCTTTAAAAAACACAAAGATATACCATGTGTAAGGTTGTTGTAATATTAGTGTTGCTTAAAACATTATCACTCATTTAGCAGGTTGTAAACTCGGTAATTGTGTTTGGTCTTGTTATCGTTGTTTACGCTTTTCTACAAATAATTTGCACTTCACATGATAGTCTGCTTATCACACATGAGGAAGGCATTATTAGCTTCCGTGTTGTTTATGTGAAGTGTGGACCTTGTTTGACTTATTTTTTTCATAAGACTAACTAATCATCACCAACAGAACGGTCAGTAACACATTATGATTTGTACAGTAGAAGTCATTATCAGTTTAGTGTTATAGTCTATATTCAAAAATTTACCCCAAAACATTGATACAAGTACATGTTAGGTGTAAATACAGCCATGGTATTTCCTCTACTGCGGTGTCCTGACCTAGATGTAGTGGAAAGATACCATCGTAAGTGACTGGTCAAGTAGAAGACGGGGGCAGCAGCAACACGGGATCCGCTTACCACATCAGGGTGTTTACAATTGTCTACCCTTTCCCCTCCACCTCACCTAAATATTATGAAGAGAATTGCTTTGATAAAATAAGGATAATAGCTGACATGCCTCCCTCTGCCTTTTCCCTTAAACTGAGCCATATAGATATTCTATCGCCTGAATTTGTTAAACTTAAATAATATTATGTCTATTAACCTTATACAGTCAGACAGGAACGACCTACGTGCAGGGCTGTATAACATCTTGAGGGGCATGGTTGTAAACATCGCTCACTTATTGTTCCCACAGAGAGCTAGGCTGAGCGCACATTCAGAATGTTACCTCACTCATCTATGACTATGAGAGACTTCCCCTCCCAAAAAGTGAATAACTATGAATTAAATTCTGTCTACGACTCTACATGAACAGACAATCCCGTCTTCGTTTACAGAAACAAAACCTACTGTTGTTTACTTTCACAAAATCACATCGGTAACTTATAAAAATATCATACAAATTGACTTCATTTAGTTTGTCGTAATTGGGCACGATTGGTTCAATAAATAAACGAGCATTTACTGGGCTGTAACCGTTAGAACAGAGAAGAGGCAAAAAACAATGTCCTCTACTATGAGAATAGCGTTTTTCTACAGGAACAATAAGTGTGGCGTCCACCTCTCCAGCTTACCTTTTATGGCATTATTATGTAAATGAATTATAATACAAAGTGTGACATTATACTGTGCAGTTTTTACCCTTGTATTTGTGTTTCAGGGAGGGGCGCTTGGTAGTTGCTAGGCGAGCGACTACGCCTTCCCCAGGGATGCACAAGCCGACTACCATACTTATTGAAGACTGAACACACTCTTACTGCCAGCGTTCCTACTCATGCAAGATGAATATATCTACTCTGTCCAGAAGAAACTATATACTGCGCCTTCGTCTTCATCTAGAATTTTCTCCATGTCTAATACTCCCATCACTCCGTCAGACGAACTCCCTTCACTCCATCCACAACACTTGTCACTCTGTCAAAACCCACTCCAGCCCTTAAACCATTGTTATGGTTCTCAGCACAACTATCCACCACTACAGTGACTCGCATCCACTGCCCTAAGTTTATCCATAATAATTTTGAGGAGAAAACTTGAATCCACGTGTGAAATACAGTAGTTTTATTTATTTTTTATTTGTGGATACTTATTTTATGTCTGAAATTGTGATATAATGTACAGTATAGATAAGGAGAATTATTACGCACACTGCTTCCGAGTATAAAATTATACTGAAATTCACGACGAAATCTGAAACGTATTGTCACCAACACAAGTTAACAGAAATCACAAGTCGGATTACTGTCATATGTGTGATAATAAGAATACTAGTAGATGACTTTATTGAAAAATTATATCAGTATAGTTAGGCGGACATCGAGGGTTGATTAACGAAACAACAAAAGAGACACCTACAAAGACACTCACAGAATTGAATTAAATGTGATAAGTAAATTGCATGTCTAACATATGTTTATATTTATAAGTATTTGTATATTTAATATGAATTTGGTTAGGGTAAATTGATTTAGTATTTACATTTTTGTGTTTAGTAAGCGAGTAATTTGAATGGGCTGACTGATTTCCTGTGTAAAGTTATTGTACTTTCTAGGACTTTACACTGCTGGTAACAGTATCTATCAGTCACCACAGATTATATCAATTAATAAGGATAAATTGATCCAATCCCATTGTATGGATAACATTGATCGGGTGTACCAAGAAGCTTTATTCACCAGTAACACTAACCCAAGACTGAATGTTTGTGTAATATTATTTTAACTTACCTTATATATTTTTCCCGTGAGAAAACACAACAAAGGCTGTGTTGACATATCATTAAATGTGCAACTATACTCTGAAAATAATGTTGTAACTAGTCATCCCAGCACACTCACCTGCTCTACAATTACCAAATGTGATACAACACCAATCATGATTTTTATATAATTGAACATATAACAGTGTAAGCCTGAAAGCAAAACAAAAAACTAACCGGGCGCAACCGGTATTTAATTGTAAATAGTAATGCCAATGCGAATCTAATATTGTACCAGCATTGTGTTTCTCACTCGCAGTCTCACAAGAAACATAATTCAATCTCAGTACTCAAGAAAACAGGCAACAACACCCAGTCTATTGCTTATGTGGTGGAGAGACTTTAGCTGTCATCAGAGTGACGTGTGTGATACTGTACAGTATATGAGACTCACAAACTTGTGTTTTAGAAACCTGCCCGCAAATATTTTTATAGTACTTTATAGAAACCTACCCACAAACATCTTATGAACCAGTGTGACTG